GGAGGTTGAGATGCTGGGTCTGTGTGTCCCTGAGGGCAGCCTGACCCCAGGAACCAACACAGTCCAAACCCACATTAAAGGAGGGCGAGGTGGCACTTGGGACAGAGTGGTTCCTACCAAGAACTCAGTGACTTTGAGCTTTGCCTTTTGTTCTTGGAAGGGGTATCTCAGGCCACCCCAAGGGCCATCTTCCAGAGGCCACTTCTTGGATCAGATGACTATGGGACTATTTCCATTGGCCAAGTGCACCCCAAGGTCCCGTTGGGAACAGTAGATTCACAGATTGCAGCCCCTCTACTGTCTTCTTTTAAACATTAGGAGCTCACTTTTCTGCCTAGAGGCATTTCCCACCAGCTCTCAAAGGGACCCTTGGTTCATGGCATAGCCCTGTGGTCTTTGGGGACTCTCTGTCCATGCCCCCAATCTGCTGTTGGAGATTTGCCTGTGTAACTGTACTGAGCTTTCCATCAGTGGTATTTGCCCTTTGCAAAGGCAGCCTGTTTTCTTTGATGGTATATCGAGCACAAATATTTGCCTCATTAATTTGTGTTCATTTAACTCCAAAAACTCAAGTGGAGTGGGCAGCCTCTAAGGTTGAAAACTAGGCAACACCTGGACATGGTGGACTGCTCTTCACCCTGTGCCCTTGACTGGCCCTGTCACTGTGAATAAACAAACTAAAGGTTAAGGGCAGGACAGTGTACCCAGGTGTAGTGAAGGACAGGACAGTACTTTGCCCTATTGTTTCTAGAACCTTCTTCTCACTACTCCTAGCAGTGTGTGTTTCCCCCCAAATATCAGGAAGAAATGGTACAAGGTCATACATTGCCACAGAAAGAGTGCTGAAATTGAGCAGAACTTTCTAGAATAGTTGGGCCTGGGATTGGATCCAAGGCCTCCACTTACTTGCTGTGTGGGTCCTGGCATGTTCTTCTTCCTCTCTACATATCATGTTCCAAAGCGGTACACAGAAACACTCATTTTGATGTCACGTGGCTGGGACCGAGGGTAAAAATCATACAGTGGGCTTGAGACTGGCTGTGTTGTCTGGCTGGGCTTCTGAACCTCAGGGGAGCCTCCTAGCCTTTTCTCTGTAGAGTCAAGGTTGTCCGGAGCTCACTAGGAAGGGCTGAAAAATCCAGGCACCATGATCCCAGCATCCAGGAGGCAGAGGCATGTGGATCTCTGTGAGTTTAAGGCCATCTTGCTCTACAAAGTGAGTTACAGGACAGACAGGGCTGTTACACATAGAAATTCTTTTTTGAAAAACAAAACAACCTGTCAGGCATGGTGGTGCACACTTTAATCCCAGCACTTAAGAGGCAGAGGCAAGAGACTCTCTGTGAGTTCAAGGCCAGCCTGGTCTACATAGTAAGCTCCAGGACAGCCAGGGTTATATAGAAAAAAAAAAAATCAGACAAAAGAGCCAGAGAGATTATTTTGTGGATGTGCCTGTAGGTATGTTTCTAAGTGGTATGGGTAAGAGTAGAAGGCAGAGGACAACTTGCAGAAGTTGGTTCTTTCCTCCTGCCATATGGGTCTGGGGATCAAATTTAGTTCATCAATTTGGCAGAAAGAATCTTTACCCACTAAGCCATCTCACTGGCCTTGTTTGTGTCTTTTGACGCAGGGTCCTATGTCATAAGGTTGACTCTGAAATTGGTCTGGCTGAGGATGACATTTAACTCTTGATTTTCTTGCCTCTATTTCCCAAGCGCTGGGATTATGGCTATGCACCCAGACATTGTTGGCTGCCCCCTCCCATGCACCCTCCTCTGAGTGTCAGTCTTCCAGCCAATGATGGCTTTGACCTATACACCCCAGGTGCCCACAGAGCCAAGCTCTCCCCAAATGATGGGCAATGAGTGTATTAATGACAACGACCCTGAGTGTGTTCTGAGGATGAGTGACAGCAGGGCAGGAGGGATAAGATGCATTGGTGCCCCTTGGTTTACCTAAAGGTTCAGAAGAGGTTGCTGAGAGTCTGGAGAAGCATGGAAAAAGGTGGAGCTATGCCCATTTCTTATTCCCTTTGAAGCAGAAAATCCATTTTCATATAGCAAATAGCACCTTTAATGGCCCAGACACCTCTTAAATAGTCCATTGGGAAGTTTATACTAGGAGTGAAACATGTTTGAAATAGCCTTTTGTCCCACTGACTAGGTCCAGATGGGTCACAAGCACAGCATGGATGATGGTTTTACTTCCCAAACTCAGATTATGAGTGAGCCCTGAACTCTTAGATCCACATCTGGTTGCCTTCAGCAAGCTGTCTTAGGTCTTGGAACAATATGCTTGGCTCTCAGTTCCCAACTGAAGTCTCTAATGGCAGATAATGATATGAGAGTCTCATCACAGACTCAGGGGGCGCAGAGGGATCTGAGGGGACACTTGTCAAGTGGGGCATTTTCTCATTCTTGCAACCATCACCCAATCCTGCCAGCTCCAGCCTCCGACATACACCTGGGCTTGGCCTTGTGGTTACATGTCACCCTGAGTGTGACTGTGGGTCCAGAGTTGCTACAGGCCCTGATATACCTCTCTGGAGGGTTGAGCTGGTCCCAGCTGCATCCAGGGCATCACCGGCAAAGTCTATTTTAAGCTGAGCCAGACCCACGGGCTGTGCTCTGGCCCCAGCCTTATGGAGCACTGCCTTCTCCCTCCCTTGCCACCTCACCAAAAAGGGAAACCATTTTCCATAATGACACACTGGGCTGTCTGATTACTGTATTCCATAATGATGGCTGTGTGTTCCAATGACAGGCACGTCACCTCCCTGTTCAGTCTGCTCACCCTGCTTGCTGTTGGTATAAATACCTCCCCCAACATACATAGGCTGGGGAGGCCCTTGCTTCCGAGGGTCCCCACCCCAGGCCTCCTTGGGAGGTGGGGGGCATTCCTCTTTGGGGCCACTCTATCTGTGAGGACCACATGGGCAGCCACGCCTTTGCCTAGCCTGGGATGGCTCCCATATGACTTAATTGGCTAGAATAGCAGTTGAGAGCAACCTTTTTAAAAAGGGCATGGCTTCAGGTGTTTGCTGTTCTGTCTTTCTAACATCTGGGGTCAGGGGTGGTGATCAGGGCAGTTTTGCACTCAAAACTCAGAGATTTGCTTGAACATGACTTAAGTTGGAGGCAAGATAATGAAAAGGAAGGAAGAAAGAAAGAAAGAAACTTGGCTTCCATCTGAATGAATCAACCTCTATTAATGACTCCTTAGCATACTTCTGATAATAATACGCTTAAAAAATGTGTATTTTAAAACCTGGCTCAGTAGACAATAGCCAGCCCCGGCCCCCAAAGGTAAACAACGAAGAAGTAAAAATAGTCCCAGCAAGTGTTTACATTTTTGTCCCCCTGAGTCTTTTTGGTTTACAGTTCATCATTTCAAGGATAAGAATTCTAGAATTTTCTGCGTATTTATACAACGGAGCTATTGCTGTGCCCCACGTTAGTGCTCAGAACCTTCCAAGAAAAACCAGTTTTATCTTGACTCCCACACACTGGTCAGATAGAACATGACTGACTGTGGAAGACCTGGGACGGTCCCTGGCTCCAAGTGGCCTCCTCAGGCAGATATCAGGTTCAGGATTCGCCCATGGTGGGAGGGAGGGCTTCTTAAGGTTCCCAGGGAGAGGAAAAAGTTTCAGCTAGCACCAAACATCTCAGGCCACACTCAGAAGAACTGAGGCAAGGTCAGAGCAACCAGGCTCCCTCGGTTGGGAGTGTTTTTCTGTGGTTCACCCAGTACAGCGCTTTCCACTTAGAGCAGAACACATGGGGACCAAGCCCCTAGCTGGGAGCCCTTTCCCCGTGAATGCAGCGAGGGCCACATAGTGTGTATAGGATCTGTCTCCATGAGGGTCCAGCCAAAGCACTCACGGAGAGTTGCCACCTCTGTTGTCCGAGGGGCCCCTGGGGGTTCCAAGAAAGGTAAAATGACTTTTCAAAAGTTGAGACTGGCCACCCATCCACCTGCCTTCCACTTCCCAACACTCAGCCAGCAGATTAACGTTTTGTTTAAGGCCCTTCTGTCCCACAATTTATGATAGTTATTTAGAAATGTCACACAGAAGGCACCTCCGCTGAATCGGGGGGGGGGCTCAGAGTGCCCATCCCACAGCCTCCGAGAGTGCAGGGTCTCTGGCTTGCTGCCAGTCGCTGCCACTGCAGGACCCTGGACCAGTGGCTCAGAGCCCTAGGCTAAATGTTTCAGTTAACAAGACTCCCCAACAAGTTTCCTTCCATCCTGGGTTGTTTTCAACTATCCAGAGTCTTAAGTTCTGCACAGGTGGAGAGGAATCTACCTTAAAAAGTATCCTAAAACTCCCTGGATTTTGTTCAGAGGGTGGTGGCTCACATCTATAATCCCAACACTTGAGAGAGAACAGGAGGATTGCAGCCAGTTTGAGGCCAGCCACAGCAGCATAGCATCTCTCCCTCCCTCCCTCCCTCCCTCCCCTCTCTCTCTCTTGCTCTCTCTCTCTCTCTCTCCATATAAAATAAGAATCAAATAGGGAGTGTAGTGAGTACCCCTCCCTTTAATCCCAGCACTGGGGAGACAGAAGCAGGTGGATCTCTGTGAGTTCCAGGGCAGCCAGGGCTGTAAAGTGAGACCCTGTCTAAAAATAAAATAAAACAACCCCCCCCACCCCGGGTTCTGCTTGTTAGCCTTCTCATCTCATTCCACAAATTGACAGAGTGGTCGCCTAGGGTCCTGCGGGTTAGGGGCGGGGCTGGGCCACCCTGCGAGCCTCCCCCTGTTCAAGGCTGCACGAGTAGAACCGCTGTGGGGCCAGGCTGGAGTTGGGGGCACCTCCCATGCAGTGCGGGGAGGGAGACGGGGCGGGGCGAGGCGCAGCTGCAGGTGACCCCGTGACCCCCGGGGCGGGGAGGGGGACCCCAGGACCAAAGAGCCGGGGGCGGAGCAGTACGGTGCAGGCGGCTGGGCTCAGCGCTCCTCCCGCCTCTGCCGGTTCCTCTGCTGGACCCAGGGTGTCTGGAGCAAACACATCATGCAGGACACGCAGGACAGCGACATCGGCCTGGAGGGCTTGTCCCGCGGGGGCGCAGCTGCGGACCGTGAGTGCCAGCGGGGACCGGAAACAATCGCTCACGAGGCACAGGGCGCAGGAACCCTCAATTCAGGTGGTAGGACCTTTTCCGAGCTGCCCGGGAGGAGAGGGAAAGGATTTGGGTGGAGGTTGCAGGGGACACTGATGGACAGACAGACAGATGTGGTCAGTTGTTGCGCGGGGGCTCGTTGTGGTGCCCTTACGGAAGCTCCAGTCTCTGGAGGGACCTTGTTTGTCCCCTAAGAGGGACCTTGCCTGTCCCCTGGAGAGACCCTGCCTGTCCCCTGGAGGGCCCTGGGCCACCGGGCTGCGGACTCCCTCGGGAGCATCCCCAGCCTGCTGCATCTACCGCTCCTGGCAGATGTGAGTCTTCAGATGTTTTTACAGGCACTATTAATACTCTTAATATTTCCGCGCTGTTGTGGAGATTTATTTGGGAAGTAAAGTAACTCCAATGACTCGAAGTCATAACGGAAACTGCTCGCAGAGCAGGGAGACAGATGAGGCTTCGGGAAGCCAGGCTGGGAGGGGAAGTCCTAGCCAATAAGTCACTAACGTGGATATTTTTATATGCATAATTTTCAAATAAATGACCCAGGAGCTGTTTCCTGTGTGTTTTCCTCTCAGTTCAGAGGTTATTAAATAAACGTGGAGTGGGATGGTGAGAGAATGTGCACTTGACCACACAGTTTAGTTTGTCAGGGTGCTGTCCTGTCATCAAGCTACTTTGTGGTCTTCCTCTCTCTGTCTTCACTTAAACCCCCACGAAGCAACTTATCCTGACATGTGCTCTGTAAAACGGCCCAATTTGCTTCTTTAGCATCAAATTAAGGGGGGGCACCAATATCAGGGCAAGAGCCAGGGCTTCTGCCAAGGGTGTACTGGGTGGTCAGACCATTCTGTCCCTGCTCCAGTTCATATTTCTGTTCTTTTTGCAGCCAGTCTGAAACACCAGCCCTGGGCTGGTTCTGGGTGAGCATCTAACTGGGTTCTGGGCACTGGAAGGGGAATTGTGGGTGTCAATAGATGGCAGCTAGGTGCAGCAGGGCCATCTCCCACTGCAGAGACTGGGAAAACTGAGGCCTCACAGAATACATGGTGGCACCATCTGGGTGCAGCTGTTGTGAGGTTCCCTTACTCCAACTCAGGCAGTATGAAGCCATGAAGCCAATACCTGCTAATCACCTGGGCTCTAGTTTCTACCCAGACTTAGGCTAGGTGGTTCTTAGGTGTGGGCACCCACGTTTTCCTCTGTGGCAGGTCGGATGGAACAGATCCTAGGTGGGTATGGGTGAGCGAGTCCCTCTGGTCTATGCCCCTGCATCAACTTTTATTCCCTGCAACTTTTATTCTGGCTGTCTGCTGAGCAGGCTCTTGTTCTTCTACCACCCTGGGCATCACTAGAGCCAGAAGCAAACCAGCCTTAATGTCTAGGTTTACACAGGTGCTTGGCCCCACCCCACAGGCATGCAGAAGTGCTGGGCATGTATGAGAGTGGGAACAGCTTGGAGTAGAATTAGAGACCCGAAGCTGGTAGCATTTGCCTAGAACTGTAGGACAGAAAGAAACACAGAAATCAAGGTTGTTCTGTCCCAATTTGAGCCTCTGATGGGGACACTCTTGTGCGGTGCAGTTGTGGAGGACAAGGTGAGCGGGAATGGAGACCACAGAGCCAACCTCTGCTCTGAACTCCCCCTTTGCTGTTGGACCCACTCTGTACCTCCTCCTCAAAGCCTAGAGTGTTGTGAGGGTGGGCTTGAGCCTGTCACCTGCCTCTTGTCCCTGGCTCTGTTCCCAGTGTGAGTGAGGACTGTCATCCTGGCCATCTCATTGCCGTTCTTCTGAGGGAGGTGAGGGTAAATGCATGCCATGCAGGGTGAATGTGGAGTCAGCTGCAGATGGGACTCCTGGGTTTGAGGACCTGACAAAGACGGTATGGGAAGAGAGTGAGGAGGGATGGAGCAGGGGGATCCAGAGGCCTAGGGTGTGTGTGTGTGTGTGTGTGTGTGTGTGTGTGTGTGTGTGTGTGTGTGTGTGTAGTGGCTCTACATTCAGGGCTGGGCTGCTGCAGAGTGAGAGTAATAAGGATTGAACTTGAAAGGGACAGAAGACAAAGGGAGAGTAAGGCAGACTCTTTGATTTAGTTTGTTTTTGTCAAATGGAGATAAACTATATAAGATTTTCATAATGGTCACATGTTACTCACTGACATCAAACCCCGCCATGTCAAGTGACTGCCACCCATCTGTCATCACTCCTATACTCTGTCCTATAAACATAGGCTGTGTTTCTTCCCAGGCCCTGGTAACAGTGATTCCCCCACCAGCCTCTGTGAACCTGTGTAGAGTGCCACCAATGGTGTCAATGACACTGGTGACCGTCATTGTGCATCACTGACTGTATGTGTTCTCAAGGTAGCTCTGTCTCTCAGCATGCCTCCCTGTTTCTTTTGTTGATGGCAGAGTAATACTCCATTAGTGCAAATGGCTGAGAGGTGAAAATATACCAGGTGTAATGCCATGACTCCAGATGACTCCGCCGGAGAGCCAGCCTCAGTTCTTTTGTGTAACTACCTGAGTGAAGTTGCTGAATCAGTTAGTTTTTCCGTCTGTAACATTAACAGTTATTATTATTGGACTGAGTGATGGCTCAGTGGTTGAGTTCAAGTGCTGCTCTTGTAGAAGACAAAAGTTCAGTTCTCACATTCACATCTGACAGCTTCCAACCACCTGTAACTCTAGCTCTCAAGACCACCACAGGTACCCACACTCATGTGTGCACACCCCACACGGACACACAGACACAGAGCTAAAAATAATGAGATGAATCCTTTAAAACTTTATCATTATTGTTGTAGAGGTTATGTATTATGGTGTGTGTGTGTGTACATGTCATATCACATGTGTGAAAGACAGAGGACAGTTTTCTCCTTGACGTGTGGATGCTGGGGCTTGATCTCAGGTTGCCAGTCTTGTGTGGCAAGGCCCTTTCCCAATGAGCCATCTCACTGGCCCTCTTTGTTTTCTATAGCTGCTTCCTCACTTCATACTAGCATGGCACAAAGGTACCAACATCCCTAACAACACATGGTGTTTATATAATTTTATTTGTTTTGAGATGAGGTCTCACTGTATAGTCTTGGCTGTCCAGGAACTTACTATGGAGACCAGACTGGCCTCAAACTCTGTGTCACCATGCCTGGCTTATAATTTTTTTTTTAAGATGGAGACTCATGCACCTCGGATTAGCCTCAAAATCCTTATCTAGCCAAAGATGACCCTGGACTTTCAATCCTTCTGCCTCTACCTCTTGAGTTCCAGGATTACAGCCATGTGCCTCTCTTCTGGCTTATCTTTGCTTTATTCTTTTAAAGTACAGCCATCCTGACAGATGTGGTGTGATCTATCACTGGGGTCTCACTTTGAGCTTGCCTGGTGGCTGGCTGCCTTGACTATCATTGGGTTTATCTGCCAACCATCAGTCTTCTATGGAAGATGCCCCCTAAAAGACAGTGGGGGGTCAGGCCTATTTGTAAGCGTTTGTCTTCTTGTTGAGCTGTATATTTTCTAGAGCCTGGATAGCAACCCTTATCAATTGTGTGGTTTGAAAATATTTATAGGTTATCTCTTCACTTTCCCCACAGTGCCCTGCGATACATAGAAATCAATTTTCATGGTGTTCAGGTAAACACCTCTCCCTCTCAGCTGGGGTCCTCAGTGTCAACTCTAAGAACCTATTGCTGATCTCAAGGTCATGAAGACTCATCGCCGTCCTAAGAGTTTTGTGGTTGTTGTTATATTTAGATCATTGATCCAGGTTGACTTAATGTTTATATATGGGACATGGAAAGGGTTTGGTGTCATCTTTCCCGTGTGAATATCCAGTCATCGAGGCACTGTCTTTCAGAAGGACCACCGTTTGGAGGTTTGCTTTTGAGCATATTGTTACTAACAGTTAACAGTCACCAAAGCTGAGACTCAGCCACTGCTGAGCATGTGTTGTTTATTAGCCTGAGTATTAGGTGCTGTTTGGACACCTCCTGGGAGGCCAGAGACAATGGAAGTGTGGCTGGCCTGCTTGATTGTAGCCTACACTCTGCCCTTTGCAGCTGAACCTGGTTACAGATAGCACCCTGAGAATTGCTATCCCCCGAATCTTCAGGTGACCACCAATGTGGGCAGATGCCCTGTGGATGTGACCACATGATAGGTTTCTCCACCATACTGTAGTGAAGTTGAGGAAACTGTCTTCCAGCTCTGCAGATGGATGTAAAATTTCATTATCATCAAACAGACACAATGGAGTATGGGGTAGCTACCTTCTCAGGAGTAGGACATGGGATAGCAAACATGTCAGGAGCAGAGTGTGGGGTAACAAACTTCTGCTCTCCATGTTTATACCATGATTTACATAGTGCCAAGGCTGAGTCTACCCCACAGATCAGTGCCCCTTGTCCCCAGCTACTGTATGGGGGCTGGATAAAATCAACCTCTATCCCCTTTAGACCATGTTGCAAATTGGCCCTTAGTTATTTCTTTTCACTACATTGGCATCTCTGGCTAGATTTGAGCCACTCAGTGGCTGAACCTGTGTCTCACTCATTTTTCTACTGCTAGCACAGGGCCTGGCCATGCATGTCAGGGCTAAATGAAAATCAGATGTATGTATCTATATGTTTTTATGCATGTATGTATGTATGTATATATGTATGCATGTATGTAGAGATGAATAGGTAAATGAATAGTTTGTAGGAGAATGGCTAGCTGGATCAAAGCTGGCTGGTTCACTGGCTGGATAATGTATGGATGTACAGGTAACAGATGGTTGGATAGTGAGTAGATAAATAAGTAGATATATGGATAATGGGTACATGGATAAATGATGAGTGAGTAGTAAGAGAATAGATAGGTGGATGGGTGGGTAAATGGATAATGAAAGGATGGATAATGAGTGGATGGATGGATGGAGGATGGATAATGGGTAGGTGGATGAGTGTGTGAGGGATGATGCATGGATGGGAAGATGGATAATGACAGGTTAGTAGATGAATGATGGGTGAATGAATGATAGATG